AAAATTTATCACCTTTCAATCGATCGATTTGTTTTGTCTTTTTTTTTTGAGCACCTGAAATAATAGAAGCAATTATTTTCTTGAAATTGTTAATTCATTTCCATCTAAATATAAACGTTTGAAAGAGTAGAGAAAAAATAACAACAACAAACTTGATATGGAAGAAAGTAAATGATATGCTTGATTAAATTTTTCAATGTAAATTCTATTCTCTTTGATTGTAAGTACATATATATGTATATATAGGAAAACATCATTGATCAGAACAGGAAAAAGGTGATGATTTTCTTCCCAACGGTATGAAGAATGTTTTCTACCAGAAAATTACATTGCTTTTTATGATGTATTGTATTATTAATCCTTTGTGTCAATAAAACGAAAGAAAACACTTGCAGGCTTTCATCAGGTTATTTCTTTTATTTATAATTTCATATCGATTTAACGGACATATTTTGAAATAGTTTGTTTAATAAGATTTCTTTTGTTTTGATCTATTCATATGTTAACAACAATGACTTTAACTTCATTTATGGTACTGAAGTATTTAGCTATCTATTATGAATGATCATAATTGTATTGAAAACAGTCAAGATGATATGATATTAACTTCGTAATCGATTTTAAAAATTAAGTATCTGGTTATATTGATCTTGGTATTTCAACTCAAACTAGAAATGTGTAAAGCAATCGATGATAGGTTAACAATAGATATTAGTATAAGAATCTTTCTTTGTATTATAAAAGGGTATCTTTTAAGATCATGCTGGTTTTGATTATGGTGTAATACAAGAATGTTAATCGACTATGATTCAATATTCTCATTTGAAAGGTATGATGATGATGTATTTGTTCGAATACAGATGCAGTCAAAGATAGATGATGTTTATTTACTTGAATCTTATTTAATTTATTCATCAACAAAGTGAAAAATAATAGAACTCCGCTCTTAATTATAGTATTTAAATTTCATTGTCATTATAAATCTGCAAAGCAAATACTTTTTTATCTAAATAATAGTTATAATAATCATTTATTTTGAATTGTTTTCTCCGAAATTAAATTCTCATTTTCTTCAAGGTACTCTTCGACTCCAAGTTCGGATCCAATGATACATTCACACTTAAATACTCATTTATTTTAAGCTCGAACTTAAGCGGATTATGTTTTGATTCTTTACGTAGAAATAAAAGAATAAAAAATTACGATTTATATTATTCTAAGAGAACATTTGTATGGCATGTACATAACTCTTTTCAAAGAGTAACGACAAGTATAATGCTAGTTTGTTAATCAATTTTTTCCTGAGTCATGTGAGCTATGCATGGTAAATGTATTTCAGGTTTTCAGATATCCTACCTATTCTATCATGTATTACATGATGATACAGTTGAACTATAACAATGGATCATTGCATCAATAATTGATTTTTATTAAAAATAAATACATGTAAATGATATTTATTTTACAAATGTTTGGTTGCGTTTCGTACTGTTGATCGGCAAGAATTGTTGACTAGTATTTGTCTTTAGAATCCATTTCAAAATTGTCATGTTACTAAGTTTAGTTTTTTGTAATTCCTGTTGATATGCTTTTGATGGTAAAACAAAAAGAATAAAACCAAGTATTTGAGGACTATATGAAAATAAATAAGCAATTAAAAGAGTATGTCGTTGCCATATGGATAATTCTGTGCATGAAAGACTAAATGATAATATTGTTTGTGGTAATGCACTCAAAACAATAATAATGGGTGTCACATACAGTTCTTTTTTGCTATTAAACATACTTTTGAATACGTCTCCAAAACTAGTATTATCACCTCTTACTTTTGCTCGACTTCGTGCTATTAAAACAATCAGTAATGTAATAGATATTGTTTGAATAGCAAATGTTCCAAGATAATGAAGAAGTGTGTTTATACGATTATAAAGTGAAATAAGAGGATGATCAAAGTTTACAATGCATCTATCGCTGGCGATGGTTGTATAGATAATATCAGGAATATGCATTGCACTCAATATTATAACAGTCACAACACTTACTCCAATAGCAATATTTGGTTTTCTTGATAATAATGAAGTAGGAAAAATAGTCATTAGAAGTCGATCACAAGTAACCCAACTGAGTAACCAAAATGTTGTTCGTGTTAAGACAAATAAAATATATGAAATAATCTTACATGAAATTAAATTTAGTCCATAATGTCCAGTAAAACCACCCAAAATATGAATGAATTTAAGAAGTAAAAATAAGAGTGCACATTGATTGATAATAGAAACAATATAAAGATAATTTCCAACTGTTACTGTTCGTGAATAAGGTCGTTTGAAAGTAACTAATGAACATGTATTGGTGAATATACCAATAATGAATAGCAAAGCGACTAGACATGTGTACACTATCTGAACAACCCATAGATCATTGATAAGTAGTGAATCCAAAGTAAAACCAAATGCAAAAGTTGTAAATTCACATCGTTGACCATGAGAACATTTCGGACATAAACACAAAAAATCATTGGGATTGTTAAGATCACCTTGTAAACATTTACCATCGGAAAAACATAAGTTGCATTGATCTGTGGATAAACCAAAACTGAGGCAATCAACACGGCTATGATCATATTCGCATATACATAGGTAGTCCTGATCATGAAAACAAAGTAATTGATTATCATTTCGACAAAGATGATGATAATGAAAGATAGCTGTAGTAGATGTGTAATCTATTAGAGAAAATTATGATTAAAACTTTTTATTACACTGAAACCTAAGAGCAAATTTCAATGAGAATATTACTAAATTAATCATCGGACATCTGTACTGTAATCATCTCATATTAATTCAGTAAGTGTAAAAAACTGATATGCTACATTTAATAAGTCTTACTTTGAATATAGGAAAACGAAGTAACATATGGACATTGTTGAGGTGTTGAATTGATATGAATATTAGTTACATTTTGTTGAATATATAGAATATAATATTCATATTTGGATAATGAATCGTACACTTTAAGAATAGCAAGTGGAGGTGCTAATATTCTATCATGATTATATCGAATAGAAGTTGGTAATCCACTCATTACTTGCTGATGTTGAATTAGAAGCTGTAGTTTTGAAAGACGTACATCATAAAATTGAATAATAGATGCCAATGTATGTCTATTCATGTTAAGATTGATATAAACAGATAATTTAATTTTCTCACAATAATCTCCATAATAATATTTTGAACATTTGCAAATGAAGGACTTGTGACCACTTGGATCATTTTTCAAATGACATGTTCCATTATTCAAACAAGGTTGAGAATGACACTCGTCGTGACGTAAATTACAACGTGGCCCAAAACGATGTAAAGGACAGATACATAATGGATTGTTTGTATTAGTGAGTTGTCCACGACTTTCAGGTCTACATAATGCATTTGACGAGCAATATGATAAACATTTTAATTCAATAGTTTCACAATTTTTACCATAAAAATTGCTCCGACACGAACATTGAAATCTAAGATGTTCTTGATTAAAAATAGGTAAACATATAGAGTTTTCAGGACACGATGTATTATTCATACATGGATTAGCACTTAAATTTCCATACCATTTAGGAAATGTAAGAATAGTAGCTAAACGAAATGCAGGTAAAAAATCAAAATAAATTGGATATACCCAGGAGCCAATTTCGTCAATTTCATTCTCACTCAGTTTATAAATATCAAATCGTATCGAATACGGTTGATTTTTGATAATATCTGTACGATTAAAATGTCGCAACTTCTTTTGTTGCTTCATTTCGTCAGACGATGAATACAATAAATAGAATTTATGTTTGGTAGAATTTTCCATTTCAGTATCACCGTTGATAATAAATTCATGAAAGTCAATGATATGTTTACCATAAATAAGTGAAGCAATGATCTTGAAATAATGAAATCTTTTTAAATAATTCGTTATTGGTAGAGAGTTTAGATTAAGGTGAGTATAAACAGTCAATCGATCACTAAAATATTGACACCATCTACCATAATATGAAGGTGGACAAAAGCAAACAACATATGATTTATTATTATACGATACAGCAACGCCTCGATTGCATTTGTATGAGTCTGAGTAATGTGTGGAAACTCGCGTAGCACTGACAATATTTAATGATGAACGAAAATACTGTGTAGATTGTTTTTTATCAAGTTCTGTTACTATCGATTGAATAGATGATGGAAAATGTGGCCAAAATGATTCCCAATATGTTTTCTGAACTCGTTTACTATTCCTATATTTATATGTCGTGCCAAGAATACTTGTAGTCAAAGGACACCAATATTCATCTTCTCCATATGGGCATTCTAATTTTTGATCACATCGTGCGTTCTTCATACATGATCCATCAAGACATTTAACATCGTTTTTTCCAGAACATGACTCGTTTTTACTTTTATAATGGCATAAAATTTCACTTCTGCACTCTTCAGATTCTCGTTGACATAATGAATAGTAATCTAAGCATCGTTTGTTATTACAACGAAATGAGAAGCCAAGCATTGATCCATCACAATTTTCTAAAGTGTTCTTTTCATCTAGACCACCATAACAATTTTCTATCGTGTCACCGATTTGTGTAAGATTAACACATGGGCGATATGTGTTGATATCTAATGG